ATGGGGCTTAACAAGGTCCATCTCAAGGAATCATGATGTCTTTTATATTGTACGCAAAAACTTCAGAACGCCTTTACATGTCTATTTTCCTGTTCAATCAACTGTTAGCTTTCCATACATTCTCCAGAAAGTCTTGTGATCCCTTAAAGAGCTAAGAATGACTGGTCTACTGCAGACATTACACTAAGTGAAAAAAGATAAGTATATGATTCCACTTATATGAAATACCTGGAATAGTCAAATTCATAGCGACTCAAAGTAGAATGGTGATTGCCAGGGGCTGAGGGGAAAGAGGAGTGGGGAATTAGCGTTTTGTTTAATGGGTGGAGTTTCTGTTTGGGAAGACAAAAACGTCTTGGAGTTAGATGGTGGAAATGGATGTGCAACAATGTAAAAGTATGTAATGCCACAGAACTGTACTCTTATAAGTAGTTAAAATGATAAATTTTCTATTATGCATGTTTTACCACACACACACACACACACACACACACACACACACACACACACAAACACACAAGAATGGCTGGCCCAGACAATATTTTGCTTCCAGCTGTTGCTTTGACTGTGCAGGTTATGGTTTAGAGTCCTCTCTCAAAGTAGAATCAAATGAACAACATGCAACTGTAGAATAATGCCATTATATAAGGAATAGAAAAACAAAATAAATACAAATATGCCCTTCTAACGTCTGAATCAAATTTAAAGTAATGTTTTTAAACTCTCTTTTATAGATTTTTAAAAATTTCTCAGATAATAATGTTATTTTCATTTCGTATTCCATATAAAATAGACTATAGAAATGACTAATTTCTCTGCAGCCACAGTAGAGAGTAAGTCATAGAATTAGAATCAAGAGCGGATCCTGCTTGCTGTCTGAGCTGGGAAAGTGTCCGTTTATCTTTCTTTCTTGGACAGTTGTGCTCCAGAGTAAGGTCATCTCTTTCTCTTCCTCTGCTCCAGAACCAGCCCATTCATACTCATATTCATATTTATTTTTTCATTTTATCTGTCAGTCTTTCTCAAAGTGTTCCATGTGTCGAGGCCTGATGGTTTTCCTGTCTGTATATGCTCTTCAGAAACCCACTCACTTGAGTTTAATATCTAATCTGGCCTCTTAAATCCCTTGGAAAGGTCTCTTCTAGGGTGGAATATTCCTTACACTAACATGCATTAGAATTTAACCAAGAAAAATTAAGTGTTAAAGGGATGGGTTGGTGAGGTTTAGGATGAATATTTTTTTTCTTGATTTATTTATATTATGTAATGAAAAAGAAACCTTAGCCCTATTCAGAATGCTTCTATTCTTTTTTTTTTTTTAGGATTTTTATTTATTTGACAGAGAGGGTAAGAAAGAAAGAGCACAAGCAGGGGGAGCAACAGGCAGAGGGAGAAGCAGGCTCCCGGTTGAGCAGGGAGCCCAACATGGGACTCAGTCCCAGGACCACAGGATCATGGCCCAAGCTGAAAGCAGACGCTTAACCGACTGAGCCACCCAGGCGCTCCCAAAGGTGATTCTCAAGGGAAATGCTGACTCAGTTCTAAGAATCCATGACCTTGCCTTTAGGTACTGGGGAGATGCCCTATGCCGTATACTACTGAGATCAAAATCTGTGATCAGCTTTTTAATTTCCAAATTAGGGATTAATCTTACTATATAAACCTTTACTTGATTGGTGTCTATAACCTGTGGGCCCATATTTAAGCAGCAACTGAGAATAGTAACACTCTAGGCCATCGTTAGAGAACATAGAGCCTCAAAAGTTCAGCTCCTCATCTTCCAGTTTCCAGCTTAGATAATTAATATTTATGGAAGACGACCTGAAAGATGTATGTCTCCCCTTTTCCAGCCACTCTGAATTCTTTCTTTCTATCAAGTTGAGCATCTATCAAAGACCTCTCCTGCCTTAGTCCATCACAGAATTGCTATGACTGAGTTGGCTTTTTAATATTATGCCTCTAGGTTACAGTTGCTATAAGAAATTGCTATTTTAAGAAATATGGTCGAAGATATTGTCTAATAAAAGCTCCTTTGTAAAATATCCTTGAGAATCAATTTCAGAATATCTCTGCTTTGCCCTGGGACTGGGTATGCTACACGTAATGAAAACTATATTTGATTATGTCTTATTTTTTCCCCTTGGCTACTAGGAAGCTCAGAGCTAAATACACACACACATACACATGCAAGTATATGTATACCTATGGAAACAAACAAGTTTTTAATGTTCTTTAATTCCAGTTCGCTCTTGAATTTGTTTTATATTCTTTCTTGTTTATATAAGTGATATGATGAGATCTTTTAAAATTTTCCTAAATTACCTCATAAATAATTCCCTGCAGATGTTCCCTGTTCCTTTTGGGTGTTTCTAATTTGCCTACAAATTGGATTCTGCGTAGCAACCAATGTAGCCAAACTAAGACAAATGACAGCTTTTTATACTCTATTTACAGAGTAACAATTAAATCACCAGTGCTGAATGCAACTGTGGCAAATAGTCCCTCCCTAAAAAGCTGTGGCTTGGGAACACCTAGGCTAACTGGTCCTGGAAATAATTGGAATGCAACTGCATTTTTGTGTTGCAAATAGTTATGCTTCCAGACACAGGACTGGGTGGTGGGAACTTCTGCAGGTATAACAGCCTAGAGGAAGGACTGTTAGCAGAAAGAACTCACCTTACTAAGGACCCACCTTGTGCTAGGGTATGTTAGCTTTCTGCTATTGGCAGTGATATGCTGGAGGTGGCTCTTTCCCACTCACAAGAGCTAGCTGTTAAAATTTGAAGAGTTTTGTGAGCCCGCTGATGTTATGTCGATTAAACTAGACCATGGTAGGAGTACTTATACCACATAAACTGGCAAATGTCACAAAGCAGCCCCTACATCCCCAGAGAGCTGATTGGTAGACACTTACCAGTCTGCTACCACCGATTGGCTTATCACTCACAACTAGCAATGAGATAGGCACTTCTGTCCTCATTCTATAAATGAGGAAATAGGCTCAAAAAATCTTTAGACTTTAGGGAGAAATTACAGAGGAAAAAACAAGTTTTGTAACAGAAACTGACAAAGCAGGAATAGGTACAGGTATCATGCTAACCCTAAGGGCTATATTCAGAGGAAAAAGATCCTATTCAGGGGAAAGCAATGAGCTAATCCAAGAAGATTGTCAAGCTAAGGTTCAGAAGGCTGTGAGGAGACCAATTTCAGTGAGGGACTAAGAGACCAAACAAAGGCATCCCAGGGGAGCTCAAGCCTCCTTCACTCCTTCCAACTCCACCTCTCCCTACCTAGGTTGGAGGAATCACTTTCAAAGGCAAGAAATTCCACTACTGCCATCCTCAACAGAAAGGGTTTGCTCAAGCTTGAAGACAGGAATTGGGCTATGTTTCCCAGGAAGTGAAATGTTAAAAAGTCAATACACAACAGTATTTTTCCTTTCCTTCAGAGGTACTTCCTATCAGGGACTAGAATGAAAAGCGCCCTTGGCTGTCCCAGCACCCCTAGCCACCTTCCTCCCTTTCATGGCCCCCTCTTCTATCATCCAACAGATTCAAGGCAAGGGCATGGCCCAAAAAAGTCCAATATGGGCAACCAGTGCCAGCTTAGGTAAAGGGCATCCAGGTGAGGTTCTAGTTGGTTCTGAACTTAGGTTTAGAGCTAAATAGTCACCAAGTATTACTCTGCCAGGCATTGTCCTGGCATGTTATTTCCCTCAGGAACCTCGAGGTGAGGAGTAACTGTGGTCTGGGCCATGGTAAAGGTAAGCCTGGATCGACGGTGCCGCCCATTGTTGTTTTCCCAGAGATGATAGGAATGAAGAGCTCATATAGTTCTCAAGTGGCAAAGCCAGATTTTAAACCAGGTACAATTACTACAAGGCCTGTACTCTATTCAGGGATCTCTTTCTGTGACAATGGGCTGAGCCAGGAGACTTGGGAGAAACCTCTCCTTCTGGGGTCCCATAGGAAAGTTGAACCTCCCTTACACATGCTGTTTTCTGAAAAAAGGAGAAAGAGTGTGAAGGCAGACAAAAGCCTTTGTTTCTATGTATGATATCTTAAGTAATTAAAAAGATAATGCATATATGTTATTTAGTCTGTAACTGGCTCTTGATTGGTGGTAGAGAATTTTGCAATATTCTGCTAAACTATGATTACAATAATGCTTTGTCTCCAGGGCCAAAATATGAAATTTGAATTATGAGTAGATTAAAGGGTACCTCATCTACCTCTGCTCAAATATTTTATCTTATTCTAGAGTAATTAAGAAGGAAGTGGAGCTGGGATTCAAAGAGCCCCCCAGCTGTTCAAAATGTAATGCAAATGATGCTATCCTCAATATTTCCTTGGGATTTCTTGAGTTTTTAACTTCAGTTTATAGAGGAAAGCCTTTAGCTGAGACCTCTAACTGCCGCCTTTCCTTCTTCTGACATTAAGAAGCCAGATCACTGACATTGAGCAGCAGATCCCAGTGAGTGTGCCAACCCAACAGCCCGCTCCTTCTTCTAGCTTACAGATTCCTGACTTCACCCATGTAGAAGAAAACACTATGTATAGGAAAGACTCCCCAGTTCCAAGGATGAACGGTCATTAGTCTAAACCAAACACAGTAATCCATTCCCTTTTATCACAGATTGGTTTAGAAGTGTGTATTTCACCAAATTCTGGCCAATGGCATCTGAAAAAGACATTTGTTGGTACTTCTGCAAAACTGGACAGAAATGTAATCAACAGAAACTTCCTTCTTTCTTTTTTTGCATGTGAAACAGTAGCTGCCATCTTAGCACCACAAATAAAGGTCAAGAACATAATGGAAAAGCTGATCCCAAATCCTGACATTGTTAAACCAAAGAACTAACCTGAATTATCTACCTAAAGACTTGTTATCATATGGGAAAAAAAATAAATCCTACTATTTAAACCCTTCATAGGCACCTACTCCACAACTTGCAACCCAAATCGTCCTAACCAATATACCTTATTATTTTACAAACTTACCCCAAAATCCCCGTGAAGTGACGGCAAGAAGATCCCATTGAAGGAACAGTGGGAGTAAGGGCAGTAACTGGTGTTGAAGAGTTGAAGGATGCTTTGCTGGCATTGTTGATAATTTCCAGTGCCCTGGATTTGAAACTGATCGAATGGAAGAGTCCTCTCATATCTCTTGGTGCAGGGGCTACTGTAGAGGTCACTTACGTTCATTACTGTCTCATATCCAGGGTGAAAGCATGGGTCTCTGAGGGTTCCGTTTGTACCCTGAATGGAAAAATCACTTGAAGACATCATGTGCAAACGTGCTGGGTGCAAAAAGCACCTCTCTGACTTCCTTAATGTGTAGGAATTTTATAATATCTTAGCATTGGCATCAATATGCCCCTGCCATGCCTTTTTCACCCTTGGGAACAGTCAGATTTGTATACTAGGTACCAGAAATGGTATCAGATGTGAATGAACTTTTGCTATTCATAGAAAGCTGATAGAGCTCAAGCTGGCAGAAATGCCATTAGTTTGAAATGTCCCCTAGTGCTTAGTTAGTACAAATGAAATACATAGGTCAGAAGCAGATTCACAAGAAAAACTCTCAATACTCTCACAAGTCTGAGCCTTGGATAGTTCTCCAGGAGAAGTCTGCCCATGCCCCCCCACACCAACCTCCAAGCAAAAAATCAGAAGCAACATGCCTTGAAATTACCTTAGATCATTTAAGCCAGGAGTATCAAAATGACTTTTAACCTACAATGATATGTTCAAAGGAAGAAAGGGGGCTTGGCTTGTGTGAAGAAAGGGGGCTCCCTGGTGGAGCCTTGGGGCTCAGTAGGCATCTCTCAGCATCCCCTACTCCAGTGGGAGTTACCTATTGACAGTGCTTCTGAGAACCAGAGCAGGAGCTTTGGAGGAGAACAGAGAACTGGTTATCCTTCCAGTGGAGACAGGGAACAGCTGGGTGTGACAGCCTTGTTCTGTGTGTGTTTGTCAGGGTGTGCCTGGTACTCACATGATTTTGAGTATGTTTAACTTTCCTTGTCTTCAGAAGACAAAAAGCGTCTGGGGACAAGACGCGAAGTGTTGATGGATAAACTCTCATGTTTTCTCTAAGTGAAACTTAGAGGTTGTTTCTAACAACCCGTTTTCTATCGCTGTAGGAAATGGAGACTTAAAAAGTGCTAAGAGCTGTACCCCTGGGGCTAATAATACATTATATGTTAATAAAAAATATAGATTTAAACAAAAAAAATGCTAAGAGCTTGTAAATTACACATCCCTCTCAACAATACTTGAACATGTAATTTTCACTGTCAAGGCCACAGGGCTGAGAAATTATTTGCAAGAAAGGATTTGAGTCGTGTCCTTGGAGAAAGTGCAGTAAACAAACACAGGAGATGATGTCTGGATGGGACGATTCACAGGGGTCGACCAGATGTAGTTAGATATCCTGCTTGAGAAGGTTTGGAAAGTACAGTAACCAAGTTCAGACCAATTACTGAAGTAGAAAGAGACAACAACAGGATGTGGGGGCCGGTGGCCCAGATGTGGGGAGGGTGGGTCTGGATTCAGTTATACTTGCCTGAATGTCCTTGGCCAGTTTCTGCCTGAGTGCTTGATCCTTCCCATAGCACAAGAAGCTGTGCGTGTATACGCTGTAGTCCCTGCCATAGAGGCGGAAGTGCAGAGCATTGCTTGGAGACTCAATCTCCTTGTCTTGCGGCACAAAAGTGATTTGTGTAGAGGCTCCCCCAAGGTCTAAAGCCCCGTAGGTTTCAAGAGCACTGTCTTCATTTGGCCTCAGGTTGAGCCAACTCGTTTTCTGAAAGAGAGTACAGTCAACAGTGGTATCAGTCTCTGAACACCTGTTTCACACTATATCTTAGACTCGGGGACTTTCTGGGGTGAGGGAAAGGGGCATAAGGTGACACAAAGCTCACTGGACGCTCCTCAGTCTGCATCACATCAACAAGGAACATCAGCAAAGCAGGAAAAGAGGGGCTTCAAAGATAGAGCTCAGACTGCAGCAACACAGACGTGGCATAGCCCGTGTTTACAATCAAGGAGTCTGAACTGAAAAGACTCAAGTTCAAATCTCCACTTATTTGCTCATTAGCCATGTGACCCTGAGCAGATAACTACCTTCTCTGGGGCTCAATCTGAGACTTGAAAATGAAAGAATTCCTCATGTACTTGTTCTGAAGGTGAAATCAGACAGTACATGAAAAGTGCTTATGGGGTGCCTGGGTGGCTCAGTGGGCTAAGCCTCTGCTTTCAGCTCAGGTCATGACCTCAGGGTCCTGGGATCAAGCCCCACATTGGGCTCTCTGCTCAGCAGGGCGCCTGTTTCTCCCACCCCTCTGCCCACTTGTAATCTCTGTCTGTCAAATAAATAAATAAAATCTTAAAAAAAAAAAAAAAGAAAAGTGCTTAGCACAGTACAAGACACATAGCACTAGGCAAATATTAACTATTCTTATTTTTAATGATAGATATTTAATTTCCTCTCTGCCTCCCTAAGGTGAAGATATGATTTCCTTATTCTCCAAAAGGAAAAGTTCTTGTAATAAAATTCTTGCCAATGTGGGGATAAATTAACGTGTCCATTCACCCAGCATTCATTCTGGCTACAGATCCCTACACTGCCTAAGACCGCAATGGCATTGACACCCCCCCACCGCCTAGGGGAGCCACCTCCCTGGGTGCGAGATGATCACCTGAGTGAATTTGCCCAGCAGGTAGTTGATGGTAATCCAGCCATAGGCACCTTCCTCCTGGCCGGTGATGATTCTGGCACCCTGGAAGTCAAAGTAGTAGTTGCTGAGGCTCCTCGCCACCGCAGCCAGGACCTTGTCTGCCAACTGCTCATTTTCTATCCTGCGCAAAGGAAGAGCTGCGTTTACCGGTTCTGCTTGAATAACTACAAGTACTCCTTTTAGTTACAGCTTCCAGCAGTTCTCCTAGGAAGCGAATCCTAACTCCCTGGAATAAACGAAGGGATGGAGATCCCCACACACGGCTGTCTGAGGAGCCCTCCTTTTGGGTGAGGCAGAACTAGTATTTTGGCCCTCCTCTCTAAATCCGGATCCTTCCGGTCCCTACATAGACTGCTCTTCCTAAAAATACCTTTTTTTTGTTGTTGCTCCTAAATATTATCAAAGTAATTTTCATTTTTGTGGTGGTGGTGGCTGGATGTTGTTTAATCACTATACCTGGAGATGACAAATGCTACATTAGCCATCACTGGTGGCTTCCAGCTGGTTCCGGAGTCAGGCTCTGCTTGAGGTTTTTAATTATGGCTGTAGCAGATACCAGGTGGCAAATGTCCTGAGACAGATACCCAACCTCCACTGGGGGGCCAGACTGGGAAAAAAAATCTTCCAGTGGTGTCCTAGTGAAAATGGGATGCAATTACTCCCAACATTGAGAGGCTCTGGGCCAGAGGATGCCACCTTCCAACCAGCACTGAACCCTCTCAACACTCATCTGAATAGCTTCACACCCTACGCCTCGCTTCCTTGTCCCCAGTTTTCCTCCCCTTCTCCCACTCCCAATCCACCTCTCTCCCAGTGTGACCAACAGCTTCCCATTATCTCTTAGACGAACACCAAATTCCCAGCCTGGCCCACAAGCCACAAGCCTGGCCCACAAGCCAGGATTCTGAGTGGAATTCCAAAGAGGCAGGGTCCCTGCCTCTTTGGAATTCCACTCAGAATCCTGGCTTTACAACTTACCAGGCATGTGACTGACCTGGGGGTGACTTACTCAACATTTGTAAGTCATGGCTTCCTTATCTATTATTATTAATAATAGTTAATAATGCCTCTTCATAGAGTTGTGATGACTAAGCACAGGTCTAACAACATAGCAAAAGCTCAACAAATACAAGCTGCTTCATCATTTTTTTATTATTATTTTTTACTATATGTAGCCTATGTTCTATCTATGCAGAACTATTTATAGTCCTCTGAATATGCCCTGGTCTCTCACTCATCCCTGCCTTTGCACGTCTACTAGAATACAAGCTTCAGGAAGACAGGGACTTTGTTCTCTTCACTCCTGTATCCCCAGCACTTGGAACAGTGTCTGCCACAAAGCAGATGTGGAAGAAACATAGGTAATGGAATGTGTGACATCTTCTCCGCCTCTAATATGCCCTTTGCCCGCCCTCCAACTCATCTTTGTGATTCAGATCATGTGTACTCTTCTCCCATTCTGAGCAGGGCCAAGTAAGCTCCCAAAGTATCTCTGAGCACTCCTCTGTTAAAGAACTGATGACCTGTATCGAAACTCTCATCTCCCATATGGGTACTAAGCGGTGACCAAAGAAGATGTGCTACTTGTGATTATTTGGGTCTTGCGACATCCGTGGCTCTCCTCTGGTCTTTCTCCTCCCAGATACTGGATGGCTCACTTGGTAGCCTCAAATCCCAGAGAACACAGGCTCAACATTTCTCTTTGTGCCCCAGCCCCCTTGAATTCTCTGCAGGGAGATGGGCAGGAGGACTTTTTCTTTTACAGACTTGAACTCCCACCATTACACATACTAAGAGTTTGGGAGTTGTACCCACTTACTGAGATTTTCTTCCTGCAGTGTGGACATGTAGGATGTTTAGAAGGTGGGGTGTTAGGGAAGCGTGGTGCTATCCCGTAACTTCAGAGGCTCTCACACTACCAGCCTAACCCCCGACACTGTGTCCCCACGTGCTACAATACCTGAGCAAACGCATGCCTGCCGTTGCTCCCAAGTAAACAGGGGTCTCTTGGTGCCGGGACTTTGGAACCACTTGAGTGGCTCTTACCATGCATGCCGTCAGATAAATGTCTATTTCACTTAATTTTTGAGCATATCTTGAGATTCCAGGACCTAAGGAAAGATGTAGAAGCAAATGACAATCTTTTTTTAAAAGTACAGGACACACCTGGGCAATATTAGAGCAAAACAGTGGCATTTTATGAGAAAACCAAAGAAGACAATTTCTTGATATAATGTAGGTTAGGTTGCTATACTTTGAGGGTAACTCTCTGAACCTGGCCTTGGTAGGATCTATTTTCAGACCTCAGGCTGGGTCTGTCCACTGTTCAGTAATTTTGCCGCTGGATGGCGCAATTTTCACATTCAATTGCATAATCTCCCTAATAGGTTCTCACATTTTTAAGGGGGAATAACTAGAATTTAAATAAAAAATTGAATTAAAAAAATTAAATGGGGCTCTTATAGTAACCCTATAGATCTGCTTTTTGATGTTTTTTCTACAAAACTGTAACTAACACCACTAATTCCTAGAAGACCTAAAAGGAGAAATAAGGAATTTAGAAAAATTAAAATAAACACCAGGCACACTGACTTTTACTGAAAAGACAGTAACTGCTGCTAACTAGCTATGTGATCATGGACAGTCCCCTGAAATTTCTGAAGCAGAGTTTCTTCCTTTATTAGAATAAACAGGTATAGAATCCATGTCTCCTTGGCAATTTTTCCTCTCTGAAAACCTGGTTTCCCTAGTAAAACTGTTTTTCCGATTCCAGAGCAAAACTAACTGTTGCTAAGAAGTTTTGGGGTTTTTTTTGTAAGTTATGCTTAACAATCTCAGCTCTCTTTAAAATAAACATCTACACTTTAGTGAAAATGTGCATTAAAGATCTTTGGCCAGATATGTGATCCATATCTTTCACAGATTTTTAAAAAGCCGGTTTAACAGTAATGAAAAGATCAGCTCTAAGTTATCAGGTAACTGTTTTGATTCAAAAATTCTGTCCTTTGAGAATTTTTTCCACTCACCTTTCATCTAAATATTTGACTAGAGAACTCTCTCTCTTTTGAGAGGGGAAAAGTCCTGCACTTCTTTGGCCAGACATATCTGGAATGAGTCTCAGAAAAAAAGATAGCTGCTGGATTTAAAAAAAAAATACCAACACTTCTTAAAAAATGGAAGGCAATGAATTAAATAGAAGCCAAAAAAAAAAAAAAAAGAGGGATTTGGGCTTAAGAAATGCTCAACCTTCTGTCTCACAACGGATGGGTCCAATGTCTAAGGATATCAGGCTCCTGGGTAAAATGACTTGCTCCTTGGAAACATCTCCTCTCTACTGCTTTCTTGGGACACTTTGAAAATTGGGGGACCTCACAGACTATCAAAGTAAAAGTCAGTCTTCTGGGAGCTAAGATACCTGTCTAAGAAATAGTGGGACCCTACCTCAAAAGGCCCAGAGAGATCAAGGTCAGAGAAGACAGTGTGGTACAGTAACACTCGGTGCATGCTGGGGTGTTGAGTGGAGGGAGTGGAAAGGGCTGAACTGACAACTTTAACCTGTTCTGTGAGCTTAGAAGAAAACTAGGGAGGAAAAAAAAATCAATCTGTAATGTGGCGATTCAGAGTAGAAGGAAGCCTGGAGTGCAAGAAAGAGACCTAGACTCTTGTCCTGGGTCTATTGCTACTTGTAAGTCACTAGTCTCCCAGGTTTTTGCTTCCTTCTTTGAAAACAAGATTTAAATGACCTGCAAGCTCCAGCCCTAGGAATCTGTGATTTCTTCCAAGCTGTAGCTTAGAGGAAAAGACTAAGGGCAACAATTCTGTGGACCAACAACATCAACATCACCTGGGAACCTGTAAGAAATGCAAATTCTGGGGCCTGTCCCAGACCTACTGCATCAGAAACTCTGGTGGTGGGACCCAGCATCTGTGTTTTAACAAACCCTCCAGTTGGCTCTACTGCAGATTCAAATTTGAGAGCCACTGGAGAAGTCGCGGGTTCAAAATTGGGCAGATCTCCATTTGAACCCCAGTTCCATCACTTACTAGCTCAAGCAGCCTTAACAAGTGGCACACCCTCTCTCTATGTCAGTGCCCTCATTTTTAAAAAAAATGGGAATAGTAGGACATATCTCCCAGGGAGACCGTGAAGATGAAATCATGCATTTTCCATACTTGGTGCATGACACACAGATGTGTGATGGGAGCCACTATGACATGACAACTTTTACATTTGTTTCTTCTTCAAGGGCTCCATCATTCAGGACTGATTTCAATATTGTTTATGTAATGACAATAAAATAACAGCAGCAGCTGCCCCACTATGTTCTTCACTGAACATCCTTTTTCTCATGTATCCCCCCAACCTGCCATACATGTTCTCACATATGTTCCTCTCATCCCCCCCATCTCCCTCCCCTTTTCCTTCCTCTTACCTTTCAGCTTGCACTCTGTTACCTGGTGCACCACCCCTGTGTCGTTCTCCTTTTCTGCTGGCCACTTATAGATGTACAAACTTGTGTGAGAAGAGCCTGCATCCAGCACAATCCCATACTGAGGGGAAAAACAAGTCAAGAACTTATCAGGATTACATTATGCTTCCCCATACTCAGCTTGCGACAGAAGGAAACAAAGACAAGAGTCTTCAAAAACATGAGGAGACATATTTTTATAAAAGATTTTATTTATTTATTTGACAGACAGAGATCACAGGTAGACAGACAGGCAGGCAGGTGGGTGGGGAGACAGGCTTCCTGCTGAGCAGAGAGCCTGGTGCGGGGCTTGATCCCAGGATCTTGGGATCATGACCTGAGCCGAAGGCAGAGGCTTTAACCCACTGAGCCACCCAGATGCCCCAAGGAGACATATTTTAATTCAAGATGAACATGGGGAGGGGTGGCCTGGTGTTGCCCTGATCATAAGAACTACCAGGACACCAAACTCTCTAGAATCATGGCTCGTAGTGCTGGTGGCATGTTAGAATTTTCCAGGCCTTACCCAGGGTGGGGCCTGAGCCTCACTACTGATCAGAAGCTTCTCAGGTGAGTCTTATGGGCAGCCAGGAATCAGAACCAGATGTTGAAGCAGCTGAGACAACATAGAGGGAATAGAAAGCCATAAATCCAGTAGTTTCCAAACTTGTGTGCACGCTGGAATCATCAAAATCACCTGGAAAGCCTTAAAAGCTACTGATACCCGTGTTCTGCCCCCAGATACGGGATGTAATTGGTCTGGTATGTGGCCTGGGCATTGGAAGAGAGACATGGAAAATACTAAGCATGTATTTTTCATTATGAATATAACTATACACTGTATTTAATACATTTTAAAAGGTAAGTATTTTCATGTTTTGGGCTCTTATGACTGAGAGGAGATGTAAGGAAGAATAAAGGGGAAAAGGTAGGAAGAAAGAAGGCAAAAGACAGTATGAGAAAGAACTCGTTGGTCAGAGGGGAAAGGGGAAAGAGCCAAGTCCCCACATCACATTTCATGAGAATATTAAATTTACTGGGCAGGTGTTGCACGAAACTTTTCGTGAGAGTTCTCTGATTTAACCCTCAGAACAGTCCTGTAGGGTAGGTACTCTGTTTATCTCTGTTATATATGTGAGAAATTAAAGTACAAAGAGGTTAAGTAGTTTACTCAATATACACAGCTAATTGGTGAGAGAGCCTGGGTTTGGATCAGAATTAGACCCAAGATCTTATGCTCCATATACAGAGAAACATAGGAGCAAGGGCAGAACAATAGTTTTTTTTTTTTAAGATTTTATTTATTTATTTGACAGACAGAGATCACAAGTAGGCAGAGAGGCAGGCAGAGAGAGAGGGAGAAGCAGGCTCCCCGCCGAGCAGAGAGCCTGATGCGGGGCTCGATGCCAGGACCCTGGGATCATGACCTGAGCCACCCAGGTGCCCCAGAACAATAGTTTTTAAAGACTTTTAGTGAGGGATAACTATAGCAAAGTGCATCCTAGTGAATTTTGGCATATGTGCACACCCATATACACCACACCACCAAGATCAAGATTCAGAATGTTTTCTACTGCCCCTCTCAGTCCGTTCCTCCTGAGGGTAACCATTGTCTTGATTTCTGTCCGCACGGATGAGTTTTGCCTATCTTTGAGCTGCTGTAAAGGGACTCACACAGCATGCCTCCTCTATATCTAGCTTCTTCTGCTCTGCCCTATCTCTTAGATGCATCCTGACTGTGCACAGCCATAGTTCATCCCTCTTCATTGCTATACAATAGTTCCTATTTCATTATATGCACTATGTTTTTATCCATTCTACTGTTGATGACATTTGAGTTACTTCCAGTTCGGCACTATTGGGAATATAGTCCCCGGGAACATCCTTGCCCATGTCATTCTTTGGATATAAGCTCATTTATTTTGGGTATTTACGTAGGAGTAGACTGCCGAATGCTCTTTTTGATCATTTAATGTTCATCTTTGGTTACACCCCTGAGTTTAATCAGGAAAAATGCCATGGGGCTTGTAAGGAGAGCATGATGGTACCTGTACTTTAATTTATTATCCCTCTGCTAGAGAGAAACATGGAAGAAAGTAAACAAGGAAGCAGAAGGAAGAGAAAAAGGAGGCACGCCTAAAATGTGAGCTAACTTTGTTGCTGTGGACCTCCAAGTGCCACCACACTTTGTTGCTGTGGACCTCCAAGTGCCATCTGCCTCTTGATAATGCTTAAATCAGCAGTCATTCGATATATAGCCTCCCATATTGTCTTATTACCTGTTAAGAACCTAAGATCTTCCAGGGAGGAAAGAAGAATGAGGATTCAAGAGACCTCCCTGGACCACTGGCAATAGCTAAAAGCTGAGTTTGCTGTGATGTCAAGCTTTATTCTGTTTCTCCAGATGAGGAGAATATCAGTGTGCAGCAGAGGGCAGATCCTTGGCCTTCCGCAACCTCCAGTGTTCTCAGCCTAGTTAGGCACAGCAGGACTCCCTATGGCAATGAACATTATGACCTTAAAAAGAAAAAAGCCTGTATACTTGGCGAGAGAGCAAGCTGGATAGACTCCTCCGTAAACAGGCTTGCAGTGAGAGGAAACCAAGAACTGACTTAGGTCGTGACTGTTGCAGGCCCATTGGGGAATGCCTGGCGTCTGGGGCCTTTGGCACCATGGGCAGCCTCCTGGGGTTGAGAGAGGCTGAGAGTTTACACAGCAGAAAATTCTGTTGTTTCCTAGGAGGGTCTGTGAATTCTTGCTGCCAGAAAATGTTCCAACCACAGTGGCCTGTGATAAAATCTGAGGCAGCAGCAGCATTCAAGCAGCCTTTATCTGGGATCAGGACATTCTATTCTTTTTTTACATGAAAGTCACTCTTCCAGCAGAGCAAAGGAACCAGCCTTCCTTCTATCATCCTGTTTCTCGAAGGCCTTAGACAGCGAGGTGGTGGAGAAATGAAAGTTTTTGCTACATTTGGTTTATCAAGTGTTTGAGCAGGAGGTGTGGTGTTTTCTGTCACACAGGAGCTGAGGGCTTTCCACCTTATGTATACAGTGGACTGGAATGCTAACCTGCCGAATTGTGCCAAATATTTTTTCTCTTAGGAAACAGTTTGCAGCTTGAGGGACAGATAAAAGCTTGATTGTGTGAAAATTCTGTTTGGGCATTTTGGAAGTTTGCCTTTCATTGTTGTAAAAGTGTCAGTATATTTAATCATTTTCATAGCTGGCCCATCTTAGAGCTAGAAGTTTATTCCACGTAATCTTCTTATTTGAGAGATGAGAGACTGTGTCCAGTAGAGTTCAAGGATCTACCTAAGAAGTACAGAAGGTGAAGCCTTCAAAGACCCATCTAGAGCCCGGGTAGCCGCCATCTTTTTTTACTTTTCACCGTGCCAACATTTTCCAATGCATTTTCCAGAGAACACTAAGCCTGCAAGGATCTAGGCAAATAAGACTTCCCAGGAGTTTGGGGAATGCTGAGTGATTTCTCGCTCTCTCCTGGGCTCACAAACCCACTAGGTAATGAATGCTTCAGAGAGTGTGGCAGTAGAGAAGCTTGCCTAGCTTTGTTTGAGCCAGCATTCCCCTGACTCCATGACGACAGAATTCTGTTTAAAATAAAAATTTCTACCCAACAGAAAGGCTTTGACCAATGCTGTGCCTTACACCATGCTAACACTCCTATCCAGTGTTTCTCTGTAACTCATTTTAAAAAGCCCTGTGAGTACATTCTACACATTAAAGAAAAATTAAATATATGTGTGGTGATGAAGAGATCTGACATTCCCCTAAGATTATTTCAATATTACTTTCTATTTTAAGAATACTAAAAGTTTACTAAATAACATCTATAAAATGAAGGGGAAGGGAAAAAAAGACATTTAAGATCCTACCAACTACATATCACTGTTACTTTGATTTATCTCCTTCCAGTCTTTCCTAAATACACAAATTTTTATATGGCTGCAATTTTACTGTGTATATAAACTTTATCCTGGCTAGTTTTTGATCATCCACATGATTTTAGCAATCATAACTGATCTTCATAAGTTATGCTGAGTGAACAGAAGCAGTGTTTCAGGAAAAGGAACAGTAAAAATGACCTTGCTTGGTTCACAGAGACACCAGTGTAGGGCCGTTGGTGTAGACCTGGCGATGTGGGTAGCCACAGACCCTGAGCTCACAGAGACTGGAGGCCATGGGGACATGAACCAAGACTCTCCTTAAGGTGGAAGCAATTCTACCTGCACAATGTCATAGGTCCAGGCATCTGAGTAAATCTCTCTAGATGCAGAAAGAAATAGAAAACTTGAGCATCAGATGATCTACTTCTATTCCTGGCTCTGCAAAAGTGGGTTGTTCTCATTCAGATCTCAACCCACTTGTCACCCAACTGTGAGTCTTCTCATTCAGAAAACACTCACCCTGACACTGGCCAGCTCTCAGTTCCCTATAAGACACATAACTTCTGTTCCAGAGCCTCAGCCCAGAATGCCCTTCACCTAAGATCCCAGCCTTCTCTGACCTTTTGAGATTTAATTCTACCCTCGTAATCCATGGCTCAGAGTCCCCATATTTTTGCTCTAAAAACAGGACTTACCATGATGCATAACTACATGTCTATATGGCTATTTGATTAATATCTGTCTTCCCCATAAGGACGTGAACTACATTAGGGCAGGTCTGTTTTGCTTACTATGGTATGTCCAGCACCCACCTTAGGATATCCTACCACATGTTAGGCACAAAGAAGGAATTCAACAGGCAATTGTTGAATGAATGAAGAGGGTTAGAATTGTATGATTTTTGAACTCCTTCCAGTCCCAAAAGAACTTAGAACTCACAGTCTAATATAAAGTAGTACCATCAAGGTTGAGTTCCACCATCACTACTACCACTACCTAAAAAAAAACCCATAAACCAGGGAACATGGGCAACGGTAAGATAATTAACTTCTCTCGGTCACTTCAGACACATTGGTTCTTCAGAATCTTTCTTACAAGTCCCTGTAGCTTTAACTATACTTTTAGCAATGTCATCAGTTTGTCTCAGTGAGTCCTTTTGAATAAACAAAGCTAAT